GAAAAACCATTGTTATGATTAAGAGGAAAAAAAAAAAAAAAAAAAAGAGGGGAAAGAGAGCCAGAGAAATTAAAAAGGAGGTCATACATTAGAAACAGATACTGATGGGAGACACTGGTGGGAGATTTAACAGAAGTCAGTGGGAGAACAGCTGCCTCATTTCAACCGCACTGGATGGAGTCTGGCCATACCGACTGCTTTACCATTTCATCCAAACTCATCTTCATCACGCTTTTTCACTGCTGCCGCAACATGCGGTGACAAACACAAACCTAAGCAAAGCATGACAAGTAGTGCCTGCAGTGATCCAGGTCACGGGGAGGCAGCCACAGCAGCAGTAAGGAGAGCTCAAGATTTCCCATCCCAGCAGCCTGAGCAGTCTCTCCACGGACCGAGCAGCTCGGGCGAAGCACCACTTCAACACTGCGAGCCGCCACTCAGAGATCTCAGAACGGTGCTACGCCTTTTGCAGTAAAGTTTGACAAGCCTGTTATAACCCAATTTCTGTTGCAGCAGTGCCCCGAGCTAGCTGCAAGGATTGCGAGCTCGAGGAGGCCAGCACTGCCAGGGAGATCCTGGAAAACCTCTGTGCCGGTGATTTTGGTGAGTACACCTGTCTTCTCAGTCGTTGGTTTCCCCTCCAGCAACCAAATAGTGGCATGCACAGCAAATGGCTTTGCCATACAAACTTGATTGGGAGGAATTTAATTGGTTACAGCAGACCCCAGAGATTTTTTTCAGTTCCCAACTTACCTGCTAAGCAGCAGGAGGGCTCAGCTAGGTGGTGTGCCAAGGGCAAAGTCTTGCTTTATTTCTGTGGGTTCTGATTTGTTTTCAGTCTGTGGCTGCTAAATATGTATGCTACCCTCGTTTTCCTGTAGAGACCAACATTTCAATCCATGTCCATGAAAACCTTTGGCAAACTCCACGTGAGCTGTTTCAAACGTCAGCAACGGTCCTGACAGCGCAACTCTCCCTTGCACAGCTGGAGCAGGTGGCAGCACCGAACCTGCTAAATTAGCTGACGTGCAGTTTTCCAGATATCGTTCCAAATTCAGACACGCAACCTTCATGACCGCAGACAGTTAAAGTCCTGGGGCAGCTGGCAGTCATGTCATCTCCTGAAATCCCAGCTCAGAGAAAAATAAACTAATTTGTACGAGACCAGGAGCGAGATGCATCCACTGGCTTGCGCCGCTGCCTCCTGCAGAGTTTCTGCCCTCGTAGTGATGTTGATATATGCCTTTCCTCCACCCTCATGAGAAGTGGAGCGAAAAGAATGATGTTCACTTCTGGAAACACTAACCTCAAATGTAAACTTTTACAAGTTTACTGCAATTACATGTGCTTGGACGGATGTGTCACCACTTTACAGAGACAGCACGAAAGCCTCCTGTTAGGTTGTGTGTTGTGGTGACTGAAGTAGGTAAGAGCTAAGGAATGTAAACAGAACTAACTTTTTTTTTTTTTTTCCCTCTCCCCAAGCGGTGAAAATTAGGATCTTCAGGAAGAACACAACCACAACCATCTCCGACTTCGACCTGGACCCCTCCCGGGTGGAGGTCCTGAAGCACGGCCCCCTCCTCCGAAGCGAAATCCCCGCCAGGCTCCAGCAGTGGCTGGACATAGACGCCACCTGCGCCCACAACATCATGAGAGGCACGCACGCAGGGGTCTTCGTCGTAAGTGGAGAAGCGCAGAGCGACAAAGTCGTGGTGAACAAGGCCTACGCCTGGCACAAGAACAGGAACCTGCACCAGGCGGTGCGGAGGTGGAAACATCACCGCTGCCCAGAACAGCCCGGCAGGAAGGTCTGAAGTCTCCCTTCCAGCAATAAGAAACTGCTTCCTTCCCTACAGCTAGAAAACTCCTTTCTCTGGCAGTTGGGGGTTTGGAGATGTACAGACAACATTTTTAGGTGATTCAAAGCAATTAATAGTCAGCATAAAGGGCCTCGCTGCAGATCACCTCCCTGAGAGATTGCTGAAATTGTTTTAATGAGACAGAGCTTAAGGATACAGACGGGACAGACTCCTCTCTAAGTTCTGCACATCCAGGATTTACGATGCATAGGAGCAAACATTACAGCAAAGGTGAACTGAAATCTGTAGGTGAGCACAAACTAGAAGAGACCTTTAATAACAGTTCCTCCTAGTTCTCGTAATCAAAGTCAGTAATCATTTCAGCTGCAGTATTTCTCTCTGAAACACTGATGCTGTTCAAGTGCCCGCTTGCTTTACGTCCAGTGCGATTACATAGAAGTTACCCTGACTGCTAAAAGATGCTCCTTATTTAGTGGAACAAATACTTTATTTTTGAGCAGCCTGTACTACATTAAGCAGGGAGGGAAGGCAGTGCCTAGCCTCTTAAAAAAATTAATGCTAAAACTCGGCTCTTGAGCGGTTGTTCAGGCTGTACCTACGGCTTGCTGCTCTGAGCGTTAGGGAGCACCTGCACAGGTAAAAGGCAATGGCCATTCTGGAGCAGGAAAGGGTGAAGACAGTTGAAGATTTTTATGTGACAGGGGAGAACACTTTTACATTAGAAATTCATTTTGGATCAAAAGATTCTGGTAACTGGGGAACTATCGAAGATATGGCAAGAGCCTTGTGAAAGAACAGAGTGGGACTGGACTTCAGCTGTTTAAAGCTCTTTCGGTTTGCAATGGCAGCTTTGCTGAGGATTCGGGGTGAGCCCCAAACACAAAGCCCAGCAGGAGATACTTCTGCAAAACCCGAGATGCCATTCTTTGTATTTCTGAGGTGGGGGGGAGGGGGGGGGAAGAAGAAACGTTACACATCTGTTTGGCCTTCTCTCTACATGCAGGAAAGACGGAAAGGGTGACAAAACCCAGTCTCCGGAAGTTCTCTGCAGATCACTCTCTAACCCAACTAAGTACTGACTGTAGCTACCTTCAGGGACAAATACAGCTACAGCTCTAAGCTATGGACTGCAAAACAGAGAACAGCAAATCCCCAAAATAAAAAAAACATGCTGATTCCTAGTGTCTAATAAAGCACTGTCCATGAAAGTTTTCTACACTGGATTAAATGGGGGACTGAAGCAAGGAGACCATCGGAAAACCAACTTTGGGGACAAACGTGCTCTTCCTTGTGCATGAAGTCTGCATTCGCAGCTGTGGTGAGACCCATCAGGTCTGATGAAGACACATTGCCTCCCTGTGCTCATAAAGCACACCAACAACCTGCGACAAGATTTTCTCTTCAGATTTAGTGCTGACTGAGATGAGCGCTCAGACACTCGTACTGAAATTCAGCTGTGCCCTGACATTTGTGCAGTGATTTCTTCTATTCCCCGAGGCTCCGAAGAAAAACACAGCGAGATTTCCGATTTTTATTCCTCCCTGCTGCCTTGTCTCACAAACTGCAGCCCTGTCTACAGAATCTGCTGCCAGGTGGTCTCTGTAATGGCAGTATCTTCTGAACAGACTGCATTTTGAAAACACTACAGAACACATAAAGCTCTGAAGGTTGAAAAGGCTTTGTCTGATATTTGTTTTCCATTAATAGGATTATTTGGTTACTAGTGTTTCCTAACTAAAAAGGGCACAGATGGTCTGACTTACAAGCTTTAGAAATGACGTCTCATAGCCAGAGGGGAGAAAAAAAATAGGGCAGGGACTTTTTCATAGCTCCATGAAATACACTTGGGTTCAACGCAGATGATTTCTCCACATTTTTAAAAGACAAACAGCAAGTTCCCTTATGGTGTCCGCTGCCATCCTCCTAAACACAAAGCTCACATTAAATCACTAACAAGGCATCTGCTCTGTAGTCCCACTACAGCCTGCTTTGCCCTCCACTTATTTCCTTAAATTGCCTCTCACAGGCCACAACACTTTTTCTTAAATAAACTCCCCAGAACTTAAGAGCCCTTCTTTGCTGATGACTTTTGGTTTTGTCTATTGCAACCAAGTTAAATGTATGCGTCAGCTAATTTAAACAACAGAGATGCAACAAATGAGTTTTTAAAACAGTTGACCTAGATGACACCGTTTGCATAGATAGAGAAGTCTCTGGAAGTCTTTTAAAGTCAGTGCTGGCTCCCAGCAGGTTCATCTGGGAGATAAGAGCTGTCTTGCGAGTTGACACTTCTAAATAAGGACCCCCTATCAGGGGACAAGGGAGAGTAGACTTGCACAGAGACTAAAATGCCGAATGTCCATCACTGCCCCGGAGGGTGTCTTCCCTGCAGAAAGCAAAGCTTCCCCTGAATCTGACAGAGGTGCCAGAGTGACAAGTTAAAAGCTGTGGGATTAGTGCTGCCTGTTTTTTATCAACTTCAGCACCTTCCTTGCAGGGCAGGATTAACTCTTTTCCATAAGCAGTATCAGGGCAGAGAAGCTGGAAGCAGGAGCGACAGGAAAACCAGACTGATCCCCCAGTCTGTGATGCTGGTAATTACGTCGGTTCTGTGAACACTGAAGGATACCAGTTCCAGATTTGTGTGTCTGCTTACTGAATGTCAGACAGAAAACCCCTTAGGAATTTGCAAGCCACGAGTACCACGTATGTAGAAGTGATAAACAAACTTTGGGTATTTCTTACAGGTACTTGCTGTATTAAAGGTGTTTAAGAAACCTCTCTGATTTACGGCCAAGCCTTCAAACCGTATAACCTATTCAGAATCTGGAAAGCTTTTTCTTAGGTTGTCGTGAAAGCATCTAAAAGACTCTCAACGTTGCATCTTCAGAATTAACAAGTTTTCTATGACTCTGCAGTATTAGGAACTTAGTAATCCTTAGTCCCAAAAGATCAAAGCTTGTATTTTCTTAATGGATTTCCGGACCATACTGAGCCAAATGTTCAATTAATGAGACTTCACCAGTTACAATCAAATGACAGAAAGGCAAAGAAGGCTTTAACATATTTGAAAGAAGGATGCTGTGTATCTGTATATCGCTGAGCAGCCAGAACAAAAGATAAATCTAGAAGAGCATGCAAACCGGTGGGAGACATGACACCTTTTGGTTGCTTTGCTACTCATTTCCTCAGCATTGAAGCACCAACACTAAGTTGCTTTATCGCCGTTTATTACCAAAACTTTGGGGCTCTCTTGTCCTTTCCTAACATTCAACAGTGTCTCCAGCGTCCTCTTCGGCCGTCCTCTAGCCGCGGCATATTAAAAGGCAATCTGCAAAACCTGGAAAGATTAAACCTGCCCAATTCTTCTCGAGGGGCCACCCCGAAACGCCACAGTAAATTACCTCGGGGCGGGGGGGACGGGGGACGATGCGCGGCTGGGGGAAGGGCG